CTCCTCCTCCTCCTCCTCCTCCTCCTCCTCTGCCTCCTCCTCCCCTTCGCCCGATCGCCGCAGTGCCTCAGGACGCAGCCGTTTCGCTTCAGGCCCGCGCTCGGCGGGCGAGACGCAGACGCCAGAAGACACTCGTCGATGTTGGCGTCGACAGAGGAGGAGCAGGGGGAGGAGCAGGAGGAGGAGGAAGAAGAGGAGGGGGAGGAGGAGGAGGAGGAGGAGGAGGAGGAGGAGGAGGAGGAGGAGGAGGAGGAGGAGGAGGAGAGGAGGAGGAGGAGGAGGAGGGGGAGGGGGGAGGGGGCGGGGGCGGGAGGAGGAGGGGGAAGGGACGGGGAGGTGGAGGTGGAGGGGAGGAGGAGGGGGAGGAGGAGGTGGAGGAGGAGGAGGAGGAGGAGGAGAGAAGGAGGAGGGGGGAAGGAGGGGAGATTAACAAAAAGTGAGAGGGGAGGAGAGGAGGATGGGAAGCAGGATGGGGTATGAGTAGGTGGAGGAGGAGGAGGAGGAGGAGGGGAGGAGGAGGAGGACGAAGAGGAGGAGGAGGAGGAGGAGGAGGAGGAGGAGGAGGAGGAGGAGAGGACGAGGAGGAGGAGGAGGAGGAGGGAAGAGAGGAGGAGGAGGAGGAGGAGGGGAGGAGGAGTTGGAGGAGGAGGAGGAGGAGGAGCAAAAGGAGGAGGAGAAGGAGGAGGAGGAGGAGGAACATGAGGAAAAGAAGGATAATGGGGGGACGCGGGCGAGATGGGTTGGAGGGTGGGGATTGGGGAGGAGGATGACGAGGAAGAGGCGGAAAGGGGACCAGGGAAGGGGGGAGGGAGGGGGGGGAGACCAGCAAGGCAAGTGCGCTCACGTCATATCTGACGTCCTACTCTCCCTTGTCCCCATCCCTTACCATTGCGCTGCCTTGTTCTCTATCCACGGACGCGTGTCATAGCGGACCTGGATCCCCAGGCAGACCCCATCGTGTGATGCGCAATCGGAAATTCGGAGCTGCGTGCATTTTTGAAAGGAGGAGGAGGAGGAACTTCAGGAGGATGATCAAAATGAACAGGAAGAGGAGGACAACGAGGACGACCAGCAGCAGCAGGAGCTGGAGTGGAAGAAGCTGGATGAGAAGGAGGACCAGGGGAAGGCGGAGGAGGGGAAATGAGGGTGTCGACAACGAGGAAAAAGGATTCGAATGCATGAAAGTTGCCCGCCATGCTGAACGCCGGGAGCAAAGCTCCAGACCGAAAATGAGTCTCGCGCTGCAGCGGGAGCACCGTCTTGAAACTCCGAAGGCAATCGGACTGAAACAAATACATATGCGAAACAAGCAACGTTTGAAATCCTGCGTTGATCAAATACGAGAAGAGGACCAGACTCCAGACAGAGTCACAGAAGAGAGGACAGTAGAAGTCAATCTGGGCGCCGCCCGACCCTTCGGCACCCCGATATGGTAAGTTTCACCTCGTCCCGGATCCTGACCCCCTGAGGTCCCCCGAGCTCCTCGGAGGTTCGGAGGTTTCCGGAGGCTCGAAACGGGCCGATAACGTCAAACATTTTCTTGAAACGTCCGAAATCCTTCCTCGATTCTCGAGGGGGGCCAGGGGCAGAGCTTGGCACCCCGACCTCCCCCCTCCTGGAGGGATCGAACGAGCTGGAGGAGAAGTGGCGGCCAGCATCGTTCTCGAAGGCGCTCAGGGGGAGGCGGCAGTCGTAGATGCGATCAGACCTGCTGCGCCATTCGAGGAGGAGGAGGAGGAGGAGGAGGAGGAGGAGGAGGCAGAGGAAGAGGAGGAGGCCCCCCAAATTCCAAGGCCCCAGGAGGGCGACCAGCAGCAGCGGACTCCTCCTCCGCCTCTCCCTCCTCCTCGCCAGCAGCCTCCTCGCTTGCCTTCGCAGAGGAGATCTTCATCCCCGTCCGCCGCCTGGAGGAGGAAAGCAAGGAGGAGGAGGAGGAGGAGGAGGATTTTTTTTTTTTTTTTTTTTTTTGAATTATTCAGGGGCGACTGCGAGGAGCGCTGCACGAGGAACGCAAGGCATTTCCAAGGCCACGGCGAGTCTCGGCCACGAGCGAGCTTTCGTCGCGGCCTGGTTTTTTAGGAAGCGGCCCGAGCACCGCGGCCCCGGGCTGGGCCCGCAGCAGCGTGGCGGCACTGTGCCCTCCCCCCCCACACAGACAATCCGCACAGCACAGCACAGCACTGCGCCAGACCACACCGCACACGGCACGCACACCACACACACAGCACAACAAAAACACACACGGCATACAGTGCAACACACACACACTCACACACACACAACGCAAGCACACACCAAATTGCACACAGCACACAGCACAAAACACACACACACACACACACGCACGCACACACACACACAACACAACACAACACAACACAACACAACACAACACAGCACAGCACAGCACAACACAACACAACACAACACAACACAACACAACACACAACACATAACACACTACACACAACACACACACACCATACAACACACAGCACACAACACAAACCAGTCCCAACCAACACAACACACAACACAGACACATACACACACATACCCCTCTGCTTCCTCCTCTCTCCTCACTCCACTTCATGTTCTGCACCTCCTGCTCCCTCCTCCCCTCTCATTCTTTTCGTGCTCGCCCTCGTACCTGGTGCACACGTGCACGCGATGTTCTGCCCTACTGGCAGAATAAATCTAAGGATCATGAGTTGTTTCCGTGCATCTTGTTTGGGCGTTCTTTTGATGGAAGGTCCGGCCACCACGTGATTTTTGGAATCGAGAGGATGTCGTGTGAAATTGATGGGCATACATGCCGCCATGTCCATGCACGGGCTATGGTACTTGATGCGGGGGGCAGCTTTGAAACATGCCCTCCTTCAGGTTTTATGCTGCTGACTTTCAGAAACGCTCGGGTGCCTGGAGGTGTCGGCGCGAGACACCGTGGCTTGGACGTGCCATGGTGTGCCTTCGGCCCCCCCCCCGAGGCGAAATATTGCGAAGACCTTACGGCCGTTGCCGCCGAGCGTGAGAGCGACGAAGATGAAAACCAGGGGGGGGCAGGGTGGAGGAGGTGGATGAGAGAGGAGGAGGGGGGAGAAGGATGTGGAGGAGAAGCAAGAGGAGGAGAAGGAGGCAGAGGAGAGCAGGAGAACGGGGAGCAGAGGGGGGAGGAGGAGGAGGAGGAGGAGGAGGAGGAGGAGGAGGAGGAAGAAGAGGAGGAGGCCAGAGGCTTTCTTGGGACAGCCTGTGGCTTTCCTGAGGCCGTCTTGGGCCGTCCAGGGCTCCTCTTGCGCCGTCTCGAGGCACTCTTGGAGGCCTCCTGGGCAATTTGGGGCTCTCCTGGGCTGTCTCGGGGCAGTTTGAGGGCCCCTTGGGAACCTCTTGGGGCCTCTTGGGGCTTCTTCCGGGCCTGGGGGGCCTCTTGGAACTGAGAGCTCGAAATGTCCGTTCGGGTCCCCCGTCTGGGCACTCTCCTGGAGCCGTCTTGGGGGCCGTCTTGGAGGCGTCTTGGGCCGTCTTGGGGCCCTCTTCGGCCGTTAGGGGACCCTCTCGGGGGCCTCTTGGGCCGTCTCGGGGCGATCTTGGGGGCCTCTTGGGCCGTCTTGGCGCGTCGGGAAGCGGAAGAGGCAAGAACGCCAAAATCTTTCAAAACCGCATAGGAAATCCATGCCTCTTGGGGCTCTCGTGGGAAAGCTCCTGGAGGCCTCTTAGGGGCGCTTTGCAGGCCTCTTGGGCCGTCTGGAGGCCGTCAGGGCGTCTTGGACAGATCGTTCGACGATTCGGGGTTCTCGTGGGCTGTCTTTGGGGCCTCTCGGGGCACTCTTGGCCCGTCTTGGGGCTTTTTTGGGGGCTCCAGGACTCCCAGGGGGGGGCGTCGTGTCTGACCCCCCCCCCCGGGGCGTCTGACCCCCCCCCCCTCCCCCTCCCCCCCTCCCCCCCCACACCCCCGGCGGGGGAGGGATCGAAGGGAAGGGGCCTCCCTCCGACTCAGTTGCGACGTTGTTTATTTTCGCTTTGGCTGGCGCGCTGAGGAGGTCCCCCTGGGAAAGGGGGGGAGCTTCGACGAGCCCATGGGAGAGGGGGGAGGCAGGGAAAGGAGACGACAGAGACGACGATCGACGAATGACGCAGATGACGACTTGAACGGACAAGCCCCTCACACACGCCGACAGGGTCGGCGGATTTGTCAGGCTCGGCACCGCGGCGAGGGGGTCCTCACTCTTTGGGGATGTGCTACAGGGGTGGATTAGCGTGAGTTGGGCGGCTTGGGCGAGGGCCATATTTACATGTGGCCACATGCCTTGTCTGCGCTCTCCTCATGCATGCGCACGAGCGCCCTTTTTTCATATTAAAGAGGCCCAGGGGCACACACACACATAAATATACATCCCCGGATTCCCAATCATTTCTTATATTTTCTATGTTTTCGTCTTCCTTCCACTTCCCATATTTTCTCAGGAAGTGGAGGAGGATGAGGGGGAGGAGGAAAAGGAGGGGGAGCAGGAGGACAAGGAGAAGAAGGAGGAGGAGGAAGAGGAGGTGGAGAAGGAGGAGGAGGAGGAGGAGGAGGAGGAGAAGGATGAGGAGGGGGGGGGAGGAGGACGGAGGAGGAGGAGGAGGAGGAGGGAGAGAGGAACGTGGGGAGGGAGAGGAGGAGGCAGGAGGGGAGGAGGAGGAGGAGGAGGAGGAGGAGGATGAGGAGGAGGAGGAGGAGAGGAGGGGGGGGGGGAGGAGGAGGAGGAGGAGGAGAGGAGGAGGAGGAGGAGGGGAGGAGAGAGGAGGAGATTGAGGAGGAGGAGAGCGATGATGATGATGAGAGGAGGAGGAGGAGGAGGAGGAGAGGAGGAGGAGGAGGAGAGGAGAGGAGGAGGAGGAGGAGGAGGAGGCGGAGGCGGAGGAGGGGGAGGAGGAGCGGCGGCGGCGGCGGCGGTGGCAGGAGGCGTGGGCACCGAGGAGCTCTCGCTGCGGGGGGGGGACACCACCCGGTTTTGGGGGGCCTCGGGGACCTCAGTGGGAGCACAAAGGCAGCCGGCTGCACGCGGCGCGGCTGGCCGGGGCGAGAGAGCTGGCTGCGCCTACGGCCGCGTGCGCCTTCCGTCGCTCGTCGGGCCCTCGGTGGCCGTGTCGGGCCGGGCTTCCTCGCGTGCAGCTGGCGCGCGGCCTCCGGATGTTGCACCTGCGTGCGCCCATCAGAGATCTCCAGGAAAAAAACAGCATTTCAGGTGGGCTCGAGAGCTCGTCTCAAGAAGAGCTCGTCTCAAGAAGAGAGAAGCCTGGGCGTCGTCTCGGAGCTTCCTGTTTCGCCTCCTGTTCGTACGTCCGGCCCTGAAGTACGGTTGAAGCCAACGCGTGGAGTGAAGCCAATTACATTGCTTAGCTTCGAGTTTTCTTGTTCTAAGCAGGGGTGCATCCAGCCACGCGTGCGCCCAGCTCCCTACATCTGCCGCCACGCCCGCCGGCGCACGCTGCGAACCCGATAGGTGCTTCTCGTGCCCGCTCTTCCCCCGCCCGGCTGCGCCAAAACCGCGCGCCGGACACCCAATTCGTTGCCGCCCCTCCCTATGGCGGACTTCAGCGACCGCGGCAAGCACTGCGAGGATCAGGGGCAACGATGGGGGGGGGGGAGCTAGGCAGAGGGGGGACCCAGAGCTCTAGACATCCGCCGATCTGATTTTTCCAACCCGCGGCCCCAGAGGTCCCGACCCCTTCCCCGGACGTGGTTTTTCGTCCTGGATCCATTCGGGCCCAATAACGGGCCCTGGAGGCCGAAATCCAGGAAAAACGGCGGGATTGAAAAAGTCATCTCTTCGGATCTCTGGAAAGGAGGAGGGGGAGGAGGAGGAGGAGGAGGAGGAGGAGGAGGAGGAGGAGGAAGAGGAGGAGGAGGTTAGAACGCCACAGCTGCTCAGCTTAAGTCCGATCGACGTCAAAGGAGGAGGGGAGGAGGAGGAGGAGGAGAAACCACGAGGGGAAGCTTTTCGCCGTTTCAGGCCGCTGGGGGCCCTCACCAGGCCCTGGGGGCCGTCCCCCAAGACAACGCTTCCGGGACGACAGACGGGCCCCAGGGAAGGGGTCCACAGACCTTCTTGGGGGGTCGATGTCATGAAGAGATGCCGCCGTCGGGGGTCTGGGACAGGGGGGGACAGGCAGTGGGGCGGGGGCGGACAGGGGAGGATAGGGGGAATAGGGGGGGATAGGCAGTTGGGGGGGATAGGGGGGATAGGCAGTTGGGGATAGTGGGGGGGTCAAGGACAGGGGGGGATAGGCAGTGGTGGGGGGGGGCGGACGCATCGCCCCCTCCTCGCCCGCTGAGCGCCGCCGGGGGCCCGAGAAGAGCCCCGCGCTGCCCAGGAGCGTGCGGGCTCGCTGTCGGGGGGCCATCGCCGATGCATCGGCGACGCGTGGCCGACTCCAGGGCGATGTTCCCCCCCTTCTGTGCCTGATCCCCCCCCCAGCGTCTCGAGAAGTGGCGAAACGCCCTGACTTACCAGCCTCGAACGTATCTCTATCCCTAAGATTGACACGCCAAGAGGCGATGACCATCTTAGGGACTCGCCCTCAAAAAATAAGGGAGTCCCCAAGATTGGCATCGTGATGAGGAGGTGCCCAGGCATAGGGATAGGGATGACGATAAAAAAATGGGAGAGAACGATTAAAACATTGTTTTCTGCTACTTCTGCACAAGCTTCTGACTGGATGAGAACGATTAGAAAAATAGTTGACCAGCCCGCGGCCGGTTTTTTCTAATCGTCATCCCGGGCGCCGCCGCGTGAAACGACCCCCGGTCATTTATTAATCGTCATCCTCCATTATGCCTGGTCCCCCCCCCAGCGTCTCGAGAAGTGGCGAAGCGCCCTGACTTCTCGCTCGGCCCGCCCAGGAGTGTTCAAGAGTTTTGTTGCGATGCGCAGGACATTTAAAACAAAAAAGAATAATACACTTCTGGGTGGCCTGAGACGGTCTTGCTTTAACGCATCGGGCTTATGTTCTAAGAACACTGTTTAGATATGAGAACATGTTGGGATCCGAAGAACATGTCGTGGTAGGCCTACGAGAATGCCTGGACGGTCGGTCCCTGCTGAAATCGTTGCCCCATCCGAGGACCCCTACTGCCGCCAGAAGGACCTCCTTCCGCTCTGCTGCGACGCCTGCGGCAAGACGTATTGCTCGGCCCTTGGGAGGGGAGAGAGAGAGAGAGAGAGAGAGAGAAACTAAACAAGGGTCTGTCCTCCTCCTCCCCCTCCCCCGCCTCCTCCTCCTCCTCCCCCTCCTCCTCCTCCGCCTCCTCCTCATTCTCCTCCTCCCGGGACACTCTTCGGGCCGTCTCTGGGGCTGCAGGGAAAAATCCAGGAGGGGGGAACACACAGAGACACAATGGAAAACATGGGGAAATGTGGGAATTGGGCGGGACATGTGGGAAAGGACACACAGACACAATGAATCGTCGATCCCCTTTTCCGTCGCGGCCGCGGGCGAGCGCGCCAGCAGCGCCAAGGGTCGGGCGGGCTACGCGCGAACCTAATTGCCTAACGCGCCGACTAACCGGCGGCCAAAGCAGCACCTAAGCTAACGGGACAGCGCGAGGTGGTGCGGGCTGCAGCTGCCAGGAACCAGGTCCAGGAGCGAAATCGTCGATCCCCAAGAAATCATCGGAAAATATGGGAAGTGGGCGGGAAGACAAAAACAAACAACATATGTGAAAATATAGGGGAATCCTTTTGTTTGTGTGTATTCATATGTGTGTCCTGGGGTTCCTTGAAAAATGCCCGCGTCCGCCGCCCGCGGGGGCCCCGGGACGCCGGTTCCAGGCGGTGGACACATCCTCGCCTCGCAGAAGTCTAGGCCTCCCACCTTGGGGTCTGAGCAGATGGTGTCGGAGGATCGCTTCGCGTCGCCGATGCATCGCCGACGCGGCTCGATGTGGAGCCCGCTTGTCTCCACGCCGACGGCGCCGATGCATCGCCGACGTCGCCGAAGTATCGGCCAGGCGGCGCGATCCCGCGACCCCATCTGCGCGGACCCCAGGAAGGAGGCCTCTACGAAAGGAGCAGCAGGCGGCTCAGGCCCACGGGAGGGGAGCCCCCAGCCCCGCGTCGCCCATTCGTCGCCGATCGCGGGTTGTGGGCACCCCGCCAAGCCATCATTGGCCTGTCGGCGATGCGTCGGCGAGGGTGTCGTCGATTTTAGGTCGATGTTTGCCCCTCACCCCCCTGCTCCCTCTTCCTTCGGATCGAACCAGGACCACAGGTGAAGGGGGGCCAGTCAGCGGTTGGGCGCCGAAGCTCAAAAAGGGGGGGGAATCACTAAACCAGGGCTGCCGCGGCTGGTGTTTCTTCGGGTGTCGGCGGCTCTGGTAAGAGGAATGGGGCGGGGGGGGCGTCTCCCGGTACACATCACCAAACTAGGTCCTACCAAACCCAGCCCTGCCAACGCCCGATTCTGATAGACCTCTGACGTCGTGTCCTCTATACCTCCTATATCACCGCCCACCAAACCACCCCAACCCAACCCGAAGGCTCCTATTTACCCTCCATTTCTTGTCGGGGGGGGCGGGGAGGATTGACAAAAACACATGTGAAGCCCGACCCCCCCCCCCCCGCAACCCGAAGTTCGGGCGAAATTCGGGTCTTCGGGTTGGGCTGGGGTGGTCTGCTAGGTCGTCACTATAGGCTCTCGGTTCCTAGAGCTCCCGACTCTGTGCCCAGAACATGCTGCTCATTCAGCGTCCAAGACTTAGCATCGCTCGGACGTGTGCATGTTTTCCTCGGCGAGGACCATCGAGGATCATCCTGGACCATCGAGCAACAAAAACACACACACACACGACACCAACAAATGCACGGGAAATGGACGTCCGAGCGATGGCGAGAAGAGAGGGGCCCCCAGAAGCACAGAGTCACGGGGGCGGGCGCCATGATGTTTTTCCGGGTGGCCCGAGGCTTGGCCCCACCCCACCCCACCCACTGCTGCTGGGCATGTTTTCAACCATCACCGCCATAAGTTGGAGGGGGGAAGGAGGAGGAGGACGACGAAGAGGAGGAGGAGGACGACGAAGAGGAGGAGGACGAAGAGGAGGAGGGAGAGGAGGAGGGAGAGGAGGAGGAGGAGGAGGAGGAGGAGGAGGAAGAGGACCCCCTCCCCCTCCAACTTGCGGTGGTGGTGGCGACAGGCAGGCCCATCGTCTGCAGCTGTGCGCCGGCAACGGCAGTCGACGTCGACGCGGTTTGGAGGGGCCAGAGCTGGGAGCACGAGGACTCGGGTCCCCCTCTGGGGCCCACGCTCTGGCCGATACAATATCGGCGAGTGCCCAGCACGCCGACCACGGCATCACTCGCAGTCAAGACGCTGAGAGAAGGACCACTTCGGGTTGAGGAGGGGCCCTTCAAGAGACGAGATTCCGATCGGTCGAACATGTAGGCCAGCGTCCAGCGCAAGATCAGGCCCCAGACCCTTTTCTGGACGCCGTCCCGACGAGTTCTCCGAGCCGGGTCCGGCCGAGGCCACGACAGCATGGCCACGGGACCGCCCCTCTTGAAGCAGCCGAAGGCGAGGGACCCACAACACTGGCAAGGACCTCGGGTCCATTTCTGCGTGTTGGCAGATATTCCATACACGTGTGGCGTTTGCCACGGCATAGTGTCGTGCTCTACGTTGCGCTGAGTTGTGTGTGCGCGTGTGTGTGTGTGTGTGACTGTGTGTGTGAGTCGTGCTTCGCCATCTCTTCTCCTCCCTCGCCTCCTCCTGCCAAAGGCGAATGCTGCGGACTGCCTTTTGTCAAGGGCGGCTGAAGCCCTCGGCGCGCCCCTCGCCCTTCATATCGTACTCCTCCTCCTCCTCCTCCTCCTCCTCCTCCTCCTCCTCCTCTTCCTCCTCCTCCTCCTCCTCCTCCTCCTCCTCCTCCTCCTCCTCCTCTCCCCGTCCGACAGAGCAAGGTGGGGGACGAGGGCGAGGGCGCGTGTTGCACGCGGGCTGGAGCTCGAGCCACGGGAGGGGGGCTCCTCCAGGAGCGAGGGAGGCAGACGGAGAGGCGGCACGGGGAGGAGCAGCAGGAGGACGAGGGCGGGGCGGGAGGAGAAGCGCGACGAAGGAGGGCGGGAGAGGGGATGGGGAAGGGTCGCCAACACAGCTGACGCACCCCTGGGGACCACCTGGCTCGCCAGGGAGGGGGGTCCAGCGCCGACCCAAGAAATCCGCGCGGACCTCCAGAAGTTCATGTATATGCTGACCTTCGCTTTCTCCGACCTCGAAAACTCAGCCTTCTCCCTCTCTTACCAGCGAAGAAAGGACCACCACCACCAGCTAGGGGGGGGATGGCCGCTCCCCCTCCCCGAGCTGGTCGCACCCCGTTCCGGGTGCGCCCCCAGGGAGTGCCCGGAACGGAGTGCCACCAGCTCGGGGAGGCGGCACTCGGGAACGGAGCCCCGTGGAGTGCTGGTGGTGGTGGCGGCTCTTGTGGCTGTCGTTCCACCCTCTCCTTCTCGGCGTCGCCACTCCGCCCGCAGGTCCACTTCAGGTACCAGGCGCACAGCTGCCCCAAGGGTTTCGCCGGCAAGGACCGGCGGGCCATCGTCTGCCCCATCTGTGGCAAGGCGGGCGGCGCGCGCGGAAGTGCGCGGGGCGGAGGCCAGGCGCAACGCTAGGGCGGTATAGCTCGTCATCGCTCGGACGTCTGCGTTTTTTTTCGGCGGGGACCATCGAGGAGCATCCTGGGTCATCTTGCGAAGAAACAGCGCACGAAACCAACACATGCACAGGGAATATAGACGCCCGAGCGACAATGCAGGCTCAGGTGGGAATGCGCCGACCCCCCTAGATGCACACTCATCTGTGGATAGGGGTCCGATGACCCACATCGTGTGGCAGGTCTCGGCGAGTTCCAGACCCACCCACCCCACGGAGTGATGTTGAGAGAGAGAGAGAGAGAAAGAGAAAGAGAAGACGGACATTTCTCCGCCCTCCTCCTCCTCCTCCCTCCTCCTCGCCCATTTGTTTTTTATATATCCTCCCCCCTCCTCTTCTTCCGCTTCCTTCTCACCTGGTCCTCCGCTTCCTCCCCCTCCAGTTCCCCTTCCCTCCCTCCCACATGATTATTATCCTCCTCCTCCTCATCCACTATCGTTCCCCCCCTCATCATCTTCCAATTCCCCCTGCAGGGCTCCCCCCCCCTCCCTTTCACCCCCGCCACCTACGCTGAGCTGGCACTGGCACTTCCTCGGATCGGTGCCCTCCTCGCCTCCTCCACCTCCTTCCACCGCCTTCTCCCCCTCCTTCCGTTCTAACACGTTTCCTTAGGGAGGACTCCTCCCTGCCGCACCCCCAGACGCCCCAGCAGGGCGCACGGGGGCGTGCCGCTCGGAATCTCCTCGTTGTTTTTTTGATCCTGGAGCTTGGGAGCTGCAGCAGCTTCCAGGACGGAGGGCGGGCGGTTTTCAATCTGCGGTTCTCGCCTGAGCGCCGCGAACATGTTTTTTTCCCTTCTTCTTTTGTTTAAAAGACGAAGAGAACACAAGCGGTGTGCAGCAGCTTCAAGATGGAGGGTGGCCGGATTTCTAAGTGTAGTTTTCGCCTGAGCGTCGCGCACAGTCGTCTTCAATTATTGCGACGGTTTCAAGGACGGAAGGAGGGTGAGTTTCAAAGGGTGGCTCTCTCGTGCGCGAGGCGCACACTCGTCTGATACGTTTGCGGCAGTGTCCGGGATGGAGGGCGGGTGGTGTTCAACATGCGGCTTTCGCTTTGGCGCCGCGCACATTCATGATGTCGAGATGCTGCAACAGCTTCCAGGACAGAGGGCGGCTCACTTTGAACAGTGTAGCTCTCGCGCTAGCGCCGCGCACGCTCGTTGTAACATGTGGCAACCGTGTCGAAGACTCATATGGTTGATGTTCCAGGAAAGACGTTTTGGCACGATTACGGCTGTCAGGGCGCAGCGGTCACATCGATTCGCTGTGCTGAGGCATGGCGTTCTGCTGCGATGTAGGACTGTCAGGCCGCAGCAGTCGCGTTGAATCGCGGCGTTGAAGTCCCAGGAACTGTTTTTTGCACGATGAAGGATTGTCAGATGGTTGTCTTTCGATGGGGCACGCCCCGCAATGACAGTATATGTTTGTAGTGACCTATGCAGAGGGAGCTTGGAGGGAGGGTTTATTGCAACATCGTTGACGCGGCTTGGGTTTACACTGGTCATCTTCCTCTCTCTCCTCCTCCTTCTCCTCCTCCTCGCCCTCGTAATTCAGTGCTCGTAACGCAGAGCTCGTAACGTGGAGTTGCAGTTCGGTTCCCACTTTGAGTTCTTGATTCTATCGGCCCTGTCTGCTTCGAGCAACGAGGTAGGGACTGTCACCCCGCATCGGTGCTTACTCCTCCCCTCTCCTCCCCCTCCTCCCCCCTCTCCCCTTCCAGACCTCCTCCCCCTCCTCTTCCTCCGCCTCTTCGTCCTCTCGTGCGCGGGCCCGCGCAGCAGCAGGCGGGGCGCGAATTGCCAGGTCCCTGTTTCTAGGGGGGACGACCCCTTTGCCGCAGGCGCCCCGCCGCACCGCGCGGCTGTGGAGGCTGAGGAGCCGGTGGACGGATCTGGATGGACGCCCGCCTTCGTCTCGCCCTCTTGTCCGGCCACTAGGCCCGGCCTTCTCTTGTACTGGACCGCCTGCTCGAGGGCCTCCCTCTTGCAGGTGGCGCGATGGTCGCGCCCTCTTGCCGTCTCGTTCAGTGGAGTGCCCCTATCCCTCTTCGTCCCCTTTTCCCCTCCATGCCCGCACCGCCGCGCCTCCCAGCCGCGGGTTCCTGATCCGGGGGGTCCTTTCTCCGTGCCGTCGCCGTGCTCCGGGAGGGAGCCCACGCGCCCAGCGGAGGTTGCCGACCCGAGCGCGGCGCCGTGCACCCAAGCAGCCGGCAGGTGGCGGCGCCCGTGCGGGGGCAAGGCGATGCTTCCTGCCTCTTCTGGTAAGAGGACGAAGAGGTCGAACCCCGTCGTGTTCGACCCCGTGTTCGTCTTCCCCCCTCCCCCCAGGTTCAAAATGGGGTCGGGCCTGGGGGAGGCCCTGGCTGGGGGGTTCCACGCTTTCTGTCCCCGTCACCCCTGTGCCGCCGAATGCCCCGGGCCTGGCCAGGTCCGAATTTGGGAGGAGGGGGGCGGGGGGGGGGGGGGGCGGAGTGAAGTGCCCTGCTTGTTTGTCCGTCAACGGTCTATCCTTCCCCCACCCTTTGAGAACGGTTTGAACGCCCATTCCACCTCCCTCCTCCTGCGCACAGAACCCGGACGTCTTGATTTTTTCAGGACGGCGCCCCCGGAAATCCAGACTCCTTCCCCGGGGCTGGCTTTTCATCCTGAGTTGTTTTTGGCGGCCCCGAGGTTCGGTACAGTCAACGCGCTTAGTAAGGACGCGCGCCTTCATCTAGGATGCCCTTGCGTCCTTGCCTCTGTGGCCCGTCCTTTGTCGTTTTCACTCGTTGCCGCCGCCCAAAAAATCCCAAATTCAGCCTCGAAGGGTCTTGCGTCCTCACCACTTGTCCTTAATATACGTTTTGACGGTAAGGGCCCCCATGTCGCCTCCTTGGGTCAATGGCTTGAGCGCCCACCCCTTGCGAGGGCGTGCCCATGCCGGCGGGGGAGGACGAGAACGCCGTGTTCGCGCGGCACGAGGCCGGGCAGGAGGAGGGGGAGGAGGAGGAGGAGGGGGAGGAGGAGGAGGAGGGAAGAAGAGGAGGAGGAGGAGGAGGAGGAGGAGGAGGATATCGAGGAGATCGAGGATATCGAGGAGATCGAGGAGATCGAGGAGGACGAGGAGGAGGAGGAGGAAACGAGCAGACGGCCTCGTTACACTCTGAGCCTTCCTGGCTTTCCCTGCCTGGTTTTACTGGTGTCCTGCCCTTATTGATTCGCACATGCCGCCTGTCCAGTTGCTGCTGCTGCTGCAGATCGCGAAAGGTGGACGTTTGTACAGGTTGTGCGCGATCACCGGAGCAGAAACGCTACAGCCCCGCGGCTCCAGTTCGCCCAGCGTCAACAAGAGGAGGAGGAGGAGGAAGAAAATGAGAAGGATGGAGGGAGGGAGGTAGGAAACTTCTCCCCAAGACATGATCGCGTCGTAAAACATCAGGGCCAGTTTTTTTTTGTTTTGCTATTTTCGGCCCCTGGGGGCCCTCGCCTGTCCCCGGGGCCGTCAAAAAAAGACTCAGGATGAAAAGCCGGTCCTGGGGAAAGGGTCTGGACGTCCAGAGACGCCGTCCTGAAAAAAACAGGCCGTCGCATGTCTGGGTCATGTGTTTCTACGCAGGAGTGCGCGATCAGGGGCTTCGTCGGCATGTCAGATGATACCCTTCTACAGTTTCACGAGTGCTCTTTGGACACCGTCGCGCTACCGTACTACCGAGGAGGACGACGGGCTGCGTGTAAGGGTTGGGAGGCAGAGAACACGAAGGGGGAGAGGAGTTGGACAATGCGCCGCGGCCGCCACTCCAACGTTTTCCTCCCTCCTACGCTGGAGTGATTTTCGGTGCTCGGATTTTGAGGAAACGCGTGCGCAACCTTTCCAATTCTGTCTATACAACGTGTAATTGCAAGCATCAGGTCGTACGTATATACGTCAAATGCATACACATACCCTGTGTGTAGTGCATGTTGGCACAGATGTAATTGCGCTTGCGACGTTTATAGCCGACGTTGTAGTGCAATTGTGCGTCGTTGAACGGGAAATCCTCGAAGCGGGGCCCTCCGCGGGCCCTGGGACCGTCAGGGAACGACTCGGGATGAAGAGCTCGTCCTGGAGGAAGGCCCTAAGGGGGCCAGGACCCGCTTCCCTCAGGACCCGTTTTCTTCATGCCAAAAGGTCCGCACCCTGCACGCGCGCGTCACGGCTTGCGTGGCAGTGTCGCGACTGGTCCCTCCCCCCCCCAGGCCTCTGCCGACTGCAGGCGGCACACCGTCGAGGCTGCAGCGAAGCCCCGCTGCCCAGCGAAGGGCTGCAAGGAGAAGCTGACGACCCTCAACGCTTTCAAGTGCGGCACCTGTGGCAAGCAGGCTGCGCCCCCAGAGGGAGATGAAACATTTGGTTAGCGGCACATCCGCCGACCCTTTTTGTGTGTTGGGACTGCGGTCTGTTCATGATGAAGGTGCCAGTACGAGATAGCAGAAAGTCGCAGTGGAGGAGACAAGAGGGACGAAGAGGAGCAGGAGAAGGAGAAGACGGGCGTAATAGAGAGAGAGAGAGAGAAACAACAAAAAAAAAATCGGCAGGGCGTGTGGATGGTTTCGCAGTTACTATTGGGGCTACGTGAGGCGTTCCAAAATGGCCCTGCCTTCGAGGATCGAAGGAGTTGCCATCTCTGCCGCCGCGAAAGGCGGCGGCAGGGCGGCGGAAGGCCGGCGGAAGTAATCCGAGGCCGCCCCCGCCGGCGGAAGCCGGCGGAAGGTGGCGCAAGGAAGGGCTGGTTCCCCTCCTCCTCCTTCCCCTCGTCCTTCCTTCTCCTCTCCTGCCCCTCCTCGTTCTCCTTCTCCTCCTTCTCCTTCGCCTCCTCCCTCTCCTCCTCCTCCCCCACTTCCCCTCCTCCTCTGCCTCCTCCATCTCCTTCGTCTTCTTCCTCCTCTCCCCTCCCTTTCCGCCCCCAAGAGATGACAGCATTTTGGGGATCAGGGCTTCGGGAATCCGCCATGAGGGGGTCCCTCTCGATTCTCGATGTTCTGATGGCCCTCCGGAGGCCCTCTGAGCCGCCGGGGGCGTCCTCGGGTCCTCGCGGCGGCCGCGCGGGCCGTCTCGGGGCCCTCTGAGGGCTCCGTTCGGCCGTCGCGGGGCCCTCTTGAGGCCCAGGGCTCTCCTGGGCTGCCCAGCCCGCTCTCGGGAAGCGATCGGGCCAACCTGGGCCCTGCCAGGGGCCTCCTTGGGCCAAAAGCCGATGTGCTCAGACGTCCGCCGTCTTTCGTTTTGGTACCCAGAGATCCGGCGCTCGGAAAAAAATGAAGCCGGCGGTTTTTGTCTCGTTTCAGCCTCGCGGTTACCACACCTGGCGATTGGTAAGACGTGTATGGTGTACGGGCTTGGTTACCACACCTTGCGATTAAAGGGCCGAGGGAGTTCTCGCAGTTTGGGTTACCACGCCTTGCGATGGATGTGCGTGATGGGTTCGAATTTCAGAAATGTGGCAAATCCCCTGTGTTTTTGGACCCTGACCCCGCGGATCTGCTTAAGGGGTGGCACCGAATTTCAGAAATGTGGCAAATCCCCTGTGTTTTTGGACCCTGACCCCGCGGATCTGCGTGAGGGGTGGCACCGAATTTCAGAAATGTGGCAAATCCCATGTGTTTTTGGACCCTGACCCCGCGGATCTGCGTGAGGGGTGGCACCGAATTTCAGAAATGTGGCAAATCCCCTGTGTTTTTGGACCCTGACCCCGCGGATCTGCGTGAGGGGTGGCACCGAATTTCAGAAATGTGGCAAATCTCATGTGTTTTTGGACCCTGACCCCGCGGATCTGCGTGAGGGGTGGCACCGAATTTCAGAAATGTGGCAAATCCCTTGTGTTTTTGGACCCTGACCCCGCGGATCTGCGTGAGGGGTGGCACCGAATTTCAGAAATGTGGCAAATCCCATGTGTTTTTGGACCCTGACCCCGCGGATCTGCGTGAGGGGTGTCGATTTCGAGCCCCCCCAGCAATTCAGACAACGCGCCCAGGGGGTGCTAAAAATCCCGTTTGCTCCTCCCCCCCCCTCGCGCGGTCAATCAACTAGTTACAGTAACCAGCAAGAAGTCAACTAGTTACAGTAACCAGCAAGAAGCAGAACTGTAACACTGGAAACTACAAGCTACAACTGGTACTGGAAACTGCGAACCCGTGCCTCGCAGCCTGGTGGCCCCACAAGGGGGCCGGCGGATCAGAGGCGTCAAACATCATGACTTCTGGATACGTAGATAAGAAGGAGTTCGTCAAGAAAGACATGGGCGAGATCGAGCGCACCATTAGAGTGCGACTGCTACTTCGGGGGGGTATGGACCTCGAAGCCTTCGATGTGGAAACTGTCTCAGGAACGGCGCGGCGGTCGAGTTAGAGACTACTCGCGACCACCGCAGCGTGCAAGAAGCAATGCATCATCGCTTCCTTGACATCAACATGGTTTGCCTGAAGGGACGTACTTATCAGGATCTTGCTGAATCAACCGGTGGACAGGAGCGTGTTGTGTGCATTACACTGCCACCTGGATCAGCATCTGTGCTTAGATCCCTCCCAGGGTTTGAGCACTGCGATGAGTCGAAGCATTGTTTTCAGTGTCTTCTTATTGAAGCTCAGAAAGATCACAGGAGGGTCTGGTCTCAGACCCACGTCTTATGACGAGGAGTTCGAGACAAGTTCCGACCCTCTTACAGACAAGCACGTTGATGACATCAATATGGCCGGTGCTGAGGACACCATCGACAGGTGCGTCAAGTGTGTTGAGGATATTTTTGGCAAATGTAAACTCAACAACTGTGCTTGGAGGTACACGCAGACGGGAACGTTACACTTTATCAAGACGAATACATAAAGCAGTTCCGTCCTATACAACATGCTGAACTCAATGGCGCAGACGCTGACGCCAAGGCATCATAGATGGTCACTGACATGTTTGTCAGCCTAAGAGGCGTTTTGGCTGACGCCTTAATGACACAGGTGTGTTTTGATGGTATATGTTGTATCCCCATAGCGTGTCCGATACCCGACCATCGTGCAAGTGCGACGAATGAACGCGATTAACAGAAACATGCAGGCTTGTGCTGAAAAAGGTCGTCTACCAATCGATGACTCCAACGGGTCATGTCGACCTGCACAGCGACTCCGGTTACCGGCGTCCTAGCGGAGATGCCGAAGACGAGGTCGAAGGCTATGATATTCGCGGGGCAAATCTGCCTCGGCGTGGAAACACGCCTGCTGGTAAGCTTGTCGTCCATCTTATCGACGCGTACTGCAAGTCTCTCCGCTTGCGGGTCAGCTCAAGCTATTCTGCGGAAACACCAGCAGCAGCCAACAACTTGGATGACTGCTATCCCACGACCGCCACTCTGCATGAACTCTTCGCAGGTTCGCTGACACCCACTCAGTTGAAATCTATGCTTGAGATGGGCGGCCCAGGCATCGATGCGGAATATGTCTTCAAGTCCTTGTCAACCAAAGACCTGAAGAAACGATTGGGTGTACTCTTCTGAGTTGGATACGACAGATGATGGAGCGAGGTATCGTGAATAGCGTACAGTGGTACAACACTCGCGACGTGACTGCGGACGGCCACGTCGGAGGCAGCATCGGCAGATATATGCTTATACAGCTCATGGGAGGAACGCAATCCTTCAAGCAAGACTTAGAGCGACATGCTCCGCACAAGGCTGGCCGCCGGACAAGATCGTCTGAGCCGCCTGAGGAACAATCGCCTGCAAGGTGACTTGCCTGCGAGGCAACTTGCTTGCAAGGGCACTTGCGGGCGGGTCAAACTTCCTTGTTGAGCCCGCCTGCTGTTGCCTACGTTGTGCATGTAGAGTTTCACTGCATAGCGGGTGGCGGTTTCACGCTTCGTCTCCCCCCCCCGACTCTGAATGAGGCCGGGGCAAAGGCGAGATATAGCGAGCGTTTGTCCGCGGCCGTTTGTTCTCAAGCGGCCGGCCGCCAACCAGCGACTGTGCTTCATCGCGAGGCACACTACCTGCCATTGACGCCGAAAACATCTTCGCTCGACATGGCCCGTCGCTTTCGCGACAATCTCTTACTTCTGGGACTATCGTTACTACGGTACAACAGAATGGGATCTGGGCTTCCCCTTAGGCGAAGCTTCGGGGGCGTCAGGAAGGCACTTTGGACCGTCTTGGAATCATCCTGGGCCGTCCTGGTGGCATCTTAGTCCCTCTTTGGGTCATTTGGTGGTCCGGGATGCCATCTTGGCTTGGCAGTCTTGGAGGCCCTCCTGTGGGCCGTTTTGGGTATCTTGAAAGGCGTTGAAGAGGACGTTGTGCATTTTTGGGTTTTTTCTGTGTGGCTCGCGTCGTTTCCAGCCGTTTGCCACGCTAAGAAACTCTCTTCTTGTCAGCGACAGGTGGCGGCGGATCAAGTGGCCTTCGGCCCATTCCACCAGCGTGCTGGGTTGTGGGCCAGAGGCCTGTTGGATGCTGGTTGGGTGCCTGTTTGGATGCCTCCCGGGGGCCGTTTGGAAGTTTTTTTGATGACTTGGGGCCTCGTGGGGGCTTCTTGAGAACCACTCGGGGCCTCTTGGTGCTGCTTGCGGGCCCGTTGACGGTTTCGGGAACAATTTTTGTTCGGGGACAGACTTGGAATGTCAGTTCGGGTTTCCCCTCTCGGGACCCTCTTGTGCCCTCTCGGGGGGGGCCTCCTGTGCCGTCTTGGTGCCCTGCTGGGCCGTCTTGGTGCCCTCCTGGGTCGTCTTGGTGCCCTTTTGGTTCGTCTTGTGGCCCTCTTCGGGGCCTCTTGGGCCGTCTTGGGGCAATCTTGAGCGCCTGTTGTACCGCCTTGGAACGACGGAGGCCCAAAACGGCGAGAACTCCAAAATCAGTCAAACAATATGGGAAATCAATGGTTTGTGTTTCTTGGGGCCCTTTTGAGGGTCCACCCTCTTCGAGCCCTATTAGGGCGTCTTGAAAGCATATGAGGGCGTCTTGAGCCCATCTTGTCTTGGAATGCTCTTGGGCCGTATCGGGGCCATCCTGGACCAGCTTGGCCCTTTGTGGTCTTTGGGAAACTCACGCGACATCACGCGACAACACGCGACCAGCCCCAGGAACAACTCGACAAACCCAGGGAATTTGGCCGCCGAGGTCTTCTCAAAGTGTTCAAAGACCTGAGGGCACTTCACTTCGTGCCTTGAGACACGGTGGTGTGTTTCGCTGTTTGTCCGGGTATAGTCTCAATTTCATTCTGCGGCTCAAGTATTTGGCTGGCAGCTTTGTTGCCCTTCAAGTCAAATTGGTCGGTCTATGTAACCACTACCTTCATCATGTGCCGCTCCCTCTTGGTGGCTTTCGTGCTGTTCGTGGCCCCGGCGAGTGGCCTA